CCTGCATTGCTGTGGCTAACCCTGTGGCACATCCCTGGACACCACGGGTTGATTTAGCTTGGCCAAACCATCTAACCTGCACCTCTTTAGCCCGACGAGGGTCAGTCAGCTCAGTTGGCTGCAATGCAGGGTGATGCCAACTGCATGGGTTCTAATCCCACACTGGCTGTGGTTAATATGAAGGTCTGTCTTTCTCAACCTCTCGCCTCGTCTGAGGTGTGGTGCCCCTCAGATTAAATCACCACCAGTCATCTCTCTCTCCCTATAGTTTGGTAAGACTATGTGACTTTGTTTAACCCAGTGTAAGTGGCTGCTTGGAATAACCAGAGACGGTGTGTGTGGTGGAGACTCTATTGTGCTAGCAATTGAGAACCCCATCAGATTGCAAAACAACAAGGGTGCATAAATTAGATAAGTTGAGTTGTACATATTATAGATTCCCCACACCGTGGAAACAGGCCATTCGGCCCAACAAGTCCACACAGACCTCTTGAAGACCATCCCACCCAGATTCATCCCCTAACCCTATATTTCCCATAGCTAATACACCAAAGCTAGGTACCCCTGAAAACTACGGGCAATTTAGCATGGCCAATCCACCTAACCTGCACAGCTTTGGACTGTGGGAGGAAACCAGAGCACCCGGAGGAAACCCACGCAGACACGGAATGTGCAAACTCCATACAGACAGACACCTCAGGCTGGAATGAGACAGTAGTGCTAACCACTGAGCCACAACACCATACATCTTCAGCACTTCCTCTGTGTGTGAGCAATAGATAAGCATTTCTGCTCTTTTTCAGCTTTAGCTTATAAAAGAAATTGGGTTTCTCTTCCAATGCAAGGAGGAGAACTTCAATGACCAAAACACAGGGAAAATAAAAACATTTGTATACATGTGATAATCAAATAGACAGGGGCTCACAGGTCCGTCTGGAAATCTTAAGCTTTGTGGGATGAACAGAGGTTATCACCGTCAGTCATAGTCACTGAGTCACAGAGGTCTACAGCAAAAGGGAGGTCATGCCTTTTAGAATTCTTTGAGGAGGTAACGAGCAAGCCAGTCAAAGGAGATCCAGTGGATTTCCAGACAAAGGTGCCACACAGGAAGGATCACTGGACCCGAAACGTTAACTCTGATTTTTTCTTCACAGATGCTGTCAGACCTGCTGAGCTTTTCCAGCAACTTCTGGTTTTGTGCCACACAGGAGACTGCTAAATAAGAGCCCATGGTGTTAGGAGCAAGGTACTGGAATGGATAGAGGATTGGCTGACTCCCAGAAGGCAGAGAGTAGGGAGAAAGGGGTCTTTTTCAGGATGGCAGCCTAGTGACTGACAGAGTTCCGCAAGGGTCCGTGTTGGGATCACAACTATTCACGTTCTACATTAACAATTTGATGAAGGAACTGAGGGCCTTCTAGTTTAGAATCTAGTCTACTGCATTCGCTGCTCACAATGTGGTCTCCTCTACACTGGGGAAACGAAGCGTAGACTTGGTGACCCCTTTGCAGAACATCTACGTTCTGCTCGCAAAAAAGATCCTGAACTACCTGTTGCCTGCCACTTCAATGCACCACCTTGCTCCCTGGCCAACATCTCTGTCTCTGGCTTGCTACAGTGTTCCAGTGAAGCCCAACGCAAGCTGGAGAAACAACACCTCATTTTCCGCTTGGGGACTCTACAGCCCTCCGCACTCAATATTGAGTTCAATAATTTTAGGGCCTAAACTCTCCACTGTCCCAGCCCCCCACCCCACACACCAGTCTTTGTTACCACATAGCCTGCCATTACACACCCCCTGTTGTTAGTCACTAAAAGTCCCCATTAACAACTATTCACCCTCCCAGCCTGATCGTTAGCAACTCCTTTGTCTGTCCAACTGTCTTTCTCTCTCTTTGGGCTCTATCCTATCGTTTACTCCCTACCCCACCCACCTCCCTATTTTCTGCATATAAACTGACGTTTTGCAAGCTGCCATCAGTTCTGAGGAAGGGTCACCGGACCCAAAACGTTAACTCTGTTTTCTCCTTCACAGATGCTGCCAGACCTGCTGAGCTTTTCCAGCAACTTTGTTTTTGAACTGAGGGCCTTGTTGCTAAGTTTGCAGATGACACAAAGATAGGTGGAGGGACAGGTAGGGTTGAGGAACTGGGGAGGCTGCAGAAGGACTTGGACAGGCTGGGAGAGTGGGCAAAGAAGTGGCAGATGGAATACAGAGTAGGGAAGAATGAGGTTACGCACTTCAGTAGGAAGAATGGAGGCGTAGTCTATTTTCTAAATAGGGAAAGACTTTGGAAATCTGAAGCTCAAAGGGATTGGGAGTGCTCGTGCAGGGTTTTCTTAAAATTAACAAGCACGTTCAGTTGGCAATTAGGGAGGCAAATGCAATGTTAGCATTCATTTCAAGAGGACTAGAATCCAAGAGCAGGGATGTACTGCTGGGGCTGGACAAGCCTTTGGTCAGACCACATTTGAAATATTGTGGGCAGTTTTGTGCCCATATCTAAGGGAGGATGTGCTGGCCTTGGAGAGGGTCCAGAGGAGGTTTACAAGAATAATCCCAAAGATGAAGGGCTCGTCATATGAGGAGTGGTTGAGGATTATGGTTTACACTTGATGGAGTTTAGAAAGATGAGCTGGATCTGATTGAAACTTACAGAATACTGAGAGGCCTGTGTAAGAGTGGATGTGGAGAAGATGTTTCCACTTAGGACCCCAGGGCACAGCTTCAGAGTGAAGGAACAACCCTTTAGAACTGAGATGAGAAGGAATTTCTTCAGCCAGGGTGTGATTAATCTGTGGAACTCATTGCCACAGAGGGTTATGGGGGCCAAATCATTGAGTGTATTTAAGATGGATAGGTTTCTCCTTAGAAGGAGATCAAAGGTTATGGGGATACGGCTGGACAATGATTTTTTTCATGATTACATTTCACCCATGAATCAATGGGCTGAATGGCCTAATTCTGCTCCTATAATCTTATGGTCTTACAGTGTAATGGTGGCTCAGTGGTTAGCACTGCTGCCTCACAGTGCCAGGGACATGGGTTTGATTCCAACCTCGGGTGATTGTCTGTGTGGAGTTTGCACATTCTCCCCATGTCTGCATGGGTTTGCTCCGGTTTCCTCCCACAGTCCAAAAATGTGTAGGCTAGGTGGATTGGCCATGGGAAATTGCCTGTAGTGCTCAGGGACGTGTGGGTTATAGGGGGATGGATCTGGGTGGGATGCTCCAAGGGTTGGTATGGACTTGTTGGGCTGAAGGGCCTGTTTCCACACTGTAGGGATTCTACGATAAAGGCCTGTCAGTTCATCATGTGAAAAATAACCAGCTCTTCCCATTTTCCATCAGTTAGTCACAGTCTTTTATGCCTTGGCATTGTAAATACACATCTAAATACTTCTTAAATGGTACAGGGGCTTCTGTCTCTACTACCCTTACAGGCAGTGAGTTCCAGATACCACCACCCTCTGGTTGAAAAATAAATTCCTCAAATTCCTTAAATCTATGTCCCTTGTTCATTGATTCCTCCAGCAAAATAACAACAGATGCCAAAGACTCAAATATGGACTGGTGCTGCAACTCGATGCACAATCTACTTGTGTACATGATGGCAGAATTATGGGACCTCATCTAGATCAAAGATGATGGAATCAGAAATTCCAGCTCATCCAACCCACTGTGTCAATGCCAGTGTTGGCGCATATCAGAGTTATCTACACAGACCCCATACATTGGCGGAATATTACCATTGTGGACCTTGTTGTAAACTCGCAGCTGAAAGGCAATATCTGGGAAAGTGTGGCACTCCCTGAGTATTGCACTGAAAGTGCCAGCCTGCTTGTGGCATAGTAACAGTGTCCAAACCCCTGGGCCCACAGGGCTGGGTTGAAGTCCTGCATGCTCCAGGGTTCATAGAACCACACAGCATGGAAACAGGCCTTTTGGCCCAACTCCCCATGATGACCAGGTCTCCCAAACTAAACTAGTCCTGTTTGTCTGCATTTGGCCCATAGCCCTCTAAACCTTTCCCATCCATGAACCTGTCTATATGTCTCTTAATTGTAATTTTACTCACCTCTAACACTTCCTCTGGCAGCTTGCACCACCCTCTGTGTGAAAATGTTGCCCCTCAGGTCCCTTATAAATCTTTTCCCTCTCACCTTAAACATATGCCCTCTAGTTTTGGACTCTCCTATCCTGGGGAAAAGACCTTTGCTGCTCACCTTATCTATGTTCCTCATAACATTGTACATTTCTATAAGGTCACCCCTCAGCCTCCTCTGCTCCAGGGGAAAAAGTCCCAGCCTATTCAGCCTCTCCTTATAAATCAAACCTTCCAGTAACATCCCTGTAAATCTTTTTTGCACCCTTTCCAGTTTAATAACATCCTTCCTTTAACAGCGCGACTGAAATTATAGGCAGTACTCCAAATGTGGCCTTACTGATATCGTGTACAGCTGTAACATGACATCCCAACTCCTGTACTCAGTGCTCTGTGTACCAAATGCCTTCTTTACCACCCTGCCTACCTGTGACACCACTTTCAAAGAACTATGTACCTGTACCTTTAGGCCTCTCTGTTCAACAACACTCCAGAGGGCCCTACCACTAACTGTGTAAGTCCTGCCCTGTTTTGTATTGCCAAAGTGCAACACTTCGTATTTATCTGACTTAAACTCTATCTGCCGTTCCTCAGCCCATTGGCTCAATTAATCAATATCCTGCTGTACTCTTAGATAACCTTCTTCACTGTCCACTATACCACCGATTTTGGTGTCGTCTGCAAACTTACTAACCATGCCTCCTATATTTATCATCAAAATCATTTAAACTACATCTCTGACAGACTGATTGGAAAATATCTCGATTGTTTTGTTGAGGTCTGGGGTGGCATTCAAACCGACAACCTTCTGGCTTCAAGATGAGAGCTCGGGCCTGCAGCCGAAGAAAACCACAGCTGGTGATTGCTTTTTGCCTCGGAATGTGTTTCTGGTTACCTTGCAGTCCATCCGGCACAACTTCCCCTCCTGAACGACCATGTCTCCTGGTGCCTGTAGGAAATGAGGTCGGAAGAAACGCTCCTGGATGGCTTCAGCTTCCTCGCCACTGTCGCGGGACCTGGACCGAGGCCTAGGGTTGACACAAAAACCCCATTAAATGGAACAGATTTTTAATAATCCCTTTGTTGGGAGGAATATAATGAGGCTAGCTCAGGTTCCAGCTATGCATTTTTTTATTCATTGATGGGATGAGGACATTGCTAGCTGTGCCAGCATTTATTACCCATCCCTAATTGCCCAGAGGGCAGTTAAGAGTCAATCACATTGCAGTGGGGTCTAGAGTCACATGTAGGCCAGACCAGGTAAAGATGGCAGTTTCCTTCCCTAAAGGATACTAATGACCAGACAGGGTTTTCCTAACAATGAATTCATGGTCATCATGACACTCTTAATTCCAGTATTTTTTAAAATCAAATTCAAATTTCACCATCTGCTATGGAGATAGTAGGAACTGCAGATGCTGGAGAATCAGAGATAACAAGCTGTAGAGCTGGATGAACACAGCAGGCCAAGCAGCATCAGAGGAGCAGGAAGGCTGACGTTTCGGGCTTAGACTCTTTTTCAGAAATGCTTTTGAAGAAGGGTCTAGGCCCGAAACATCAGTCTTCCTGCTCCTCTGATACTGCTTGGCCTGCTGTGTTCATCCAGCTCTACACCTTGTTATCTCTTATCTTCACCATCTGCTTTGGTGGAATTCAAACCCAGGTCCCCAGAACATTAGAGACAACAAGGTGTAGAGCTGGATGAACACAGCAGGCCAAGCAGCATCAGAGGAGCAGGAAAGCTGACGTTTCCGGCCTCGACCCTTCTTCAGAAATGGGGGAGGGGAAGGGAGTTCTGAAATAAATAGGGAGAGAGGGGGAGGCAGATAGAAGATGGATAAAGGAGAAGATAGGTGGAGAGGAGACAGACAGGTCAAAGAGGTTATCCCCAGAACATTATCTGGGTCTCTGTATTAATAGCCCAGTGATAATACCACTAGACCATCAACTCAACCTACAGTTCATCATCCACTTGCCCCACTTCACCCTGGTTCAATACAGTCATTTAATTTAATGCTAAAATTGGAACTGAGAGGCTTGTCATGGGATGTGGGAGTTGCCAATAGGACCACCATTTATTGACCATCCCCAATTACCCTTGAACTGTGCGGCTTGCTAGGCAGTCTCATGGGGACAGGAAGTAATTACCCACACTGCTAGGGGTCTACCAGCAGATGTAGGGACAGCTGATCCCCTCCACTGACCGGACAACAGTAAATCACCAGATTCAACATCAATTGATAATAGTTGCACTATGGTCATCATGACTGAGGCTAGTTTACGCTCCCCCCCTTCCCCTATTCCATGTTCTGTATAAAAACCATCCTTTGTGAGGTCATGCCTCATATGTCCTTTGAATTCTTTGAGGATGTGACAAAACACATTGATGAAGGTAGAGCAGTGGATGTGGTGTATATGGATTTTAGCAAGGCATTCGAAAAGGTTCTCCATGGTAGGTTCATTCAGAAAGTAAGGAGGCATGGGATTCAGGGAAAGTTTGCTGTCTGGATACAAAACTGGCTGTCCAATAGAAGACAGAGGGTGCTGGTAGATGGAAAGTATTCAGCCTGGAGCTCGGTGACCAGTGGTGTTCCGCAGGGATCTGTTCTGGGACCTCTGCTCTTTGTGATCTTTATAAACGACGTGGATGAGGAAGTGGAAGGGTGGGTTAGTAAGTTTGCCGATGGCATGAAGGTTGGTGGAGTTGTGGATAGTGTGGAGGGCTGTTGTATGTTGCAACGGGACATTGACAGGATGCAGAGCTGGGTAAAGAAGTGTCAGATGGAATTCAACCTGGAAAAGTGTGAAGTGATTCATTTTGGAAGGTTGAATTTGAATGCAGAATACGGGGTTAATGGCAGGATTCTTGGCAGTGTGGAGGAACAGAGAGATCTTGGTGTCCACATCCATAGATCCCTCAAAGTTGCCACCCAAGTTGATGGGGTTGTGAAGAAGGCATATGGTGTGTCGGCTTTCATTGGCAGGGGAATTGAGTTTAAGAGCCGCGACGTTATGCTGCAGCTCTATAAAACCCTGGTTAGACCACACTTGGAATATTGTGTTCAGTTCTGGTTGCCTTCACACTTTCTTGAAACGACTGAGGAAGTTAAAATTTCATGATCAGATTACAGCATAAAGCGCAGCTGAAGAAATGGGGCTGGCTTATTGTGTTTACAAATCAAATCTCCTTCAAAAAATCATTATCCCTCAGTCCCAAATATGTCCAAGCATCCACCGACTCTCAGTAAAACACGAACTGGGTCTTTTGACAAGACATTTAGTTATAAACTCCAGCTGGACTGTCAAACAAAATCAGGCATCGATTATGAAGGACAGTCCCAGTCAATGTTCACTTCAATGTTCCAGAAATGCTCTTCTGAAAGAATCACTTGTTTGAGCACAAGGTCAGCTCTCCCACCCCCACCCACTACAACTGTTATTGCAAACAGCATGAACCCAGCTCAGCTCCATGCACACACTCGCTCACACACAAACACACACACACACACACGTGCACTCTCACTTACACACACAGTCTATACACACATTTTCTCACACAGTAATCTTTCATATACACGCTCCCTCTCTCACACACACACACAGATATTCACACACACTCATTCATGCACTCTCACACTCACACTATCTGTCACACGCACACACATTCTCACACACACTCTCACACAGTAATCTCTCATATACACACACTCACGCACACACACACACACACAGACATTCACGCGCACACACACACACACACACAGACATTCACTTACACACACTCAGTCATGCACTCTCATACTCACTCACCATCTGTCACACGCACACACATTCTCACACATTCTCACACAGTAATCTCTCATATACACACACACACAGGCATTCACTCTCACACACACACACGCACACTCACTATCTCTCACACACACACGCACACTCACTATCTCTCACACACAAACGCACACTCACTATCTCACAAACGCACACTCACTATCTCACACACACACACAATCACTCACACTCACACATGCACACACTCTCTCTCTCTCTCACACACACACACACACACACACTCACTCACATACGCATACTCACTATCACACACACACATTCACTCTCACACGCACACTCACTATCTCACACACACATTCACTCGCACACACACTCGCACATACACGCACTCATTCACATACAGTCTCTTTCACACATTCTCACACTGTAATCTCTCAAATACACTCTCACACACACACACATGCGCACGTGCGCACACACACACACATCTCATCAATGAAAAGCTTGAATCTCCTTAAGTGTCAAACTGTGCCAAAAAACACATACCCTTTGAACTGGTTAGGGAAGTATTGTAACTTTGTGGTTTCAGGTTTAGGGTTACTTAGGTATGGAGTGAAACAGAAGTATGAGTGTGATATTTGATCTGAAGTCCTGGGGTCTTTCACCTCTCTATCCTAAACAACTCCCTGATTAGCACCACTTCACTTCAGAAAGAAATTCATCATGTAAAGGGCTTTGAGACATTTTGATACTGTAACCTACTGCGCAAATCCGAGTTTGGATTAAAGATATTAGTTTAGTTGTTTGAAGCAGCAGATGCTTCAGCAGGCTCTCTGTAATAACAGGCCTGCCCCATTTAATTTCCACACCACCCACAGCTATGGCTCAGCAATGAAAAGGCGTTTCCTGGACTCCCTGCTGCAGTGGGCAGAGGACACAGCATTAAGCCAGATGTAACAGGAGAGGGACTTCTTTAAAAAAAAAGTGACATGCCACTATAGCAACAGGCACTATGTAAACACAAGCTGTTGTAATGATCTGGAACGCACTGCCTGAAAGGGATTGGAGGGGAGATTGGAGTAACTTTGGAAGGGAGTTGGATAAAGAAACAAAAAGCTGCCCTGTGTGTGATCCAGGGAATGTCTGCTCCTCAATCCGTAATGATTAATCCAAGGGACTGGACCATCCGATGAATCAGATTTTGTCAACCAGTGTTTAGTTTCAATATTGAGATAGATAATGATGGCATGGGTGGGGATCATTAGCTCAGTTGTTGGACGGCTGGTCTCTGATGCAGAATAATATGGGCGGCACGGTGGCTCAGCAGTTAGCACTGCTGCCTCACAGCGCCAGAGACCTGGGTTTGATTCCACTCTCGGGCCACTGTCTGTGTGGGGTTTGCACATTCTCCCTGTGTCTGCGTGGGTTTCCTCCAGGTGCGCCCACAGTCCAAAGATGTGCAGGCTAGGTGGATTGGCCATGCTAAATTGCCCATAGTGTTCAGGGATGTGTAGATTAGGTCGGTTATAGGAGGACGGGGCTGGGTGGGATGCTCTGAGGGTCGGTGTGGACTTGTTGGGCCAAAAGGCCTGTTTCCACACTGTAGGGATTCTATGAACACCAGCAACGTGGGTTCAATTCCCACACCAGCTGGGGTCACCCTGAAGGTCCCTCCTTTTCAATCTCTCTCCTCACCTGAGGCATGGTGACTCTCAGGTAAAACCACCACCAGTCATCTCCCTCTCTCTCACGAGAGAGCAGCCCTATGGCTCCCCATACAGAGATCATGCTATTTATCTACTCTTGCTGACTTCAGAGCCACTGATGAGTTATTCAACGATGAAAGGATTTACCTTTATATGGAGCATCAAGTTCACTCAGATGTTCAAACGATTATGGTTGATCCTCTATCTCATGTGCATATACCCCCTCTCCCCACAACACCCCTTGACAGCTTCAGTGTCTAGGATACTATCTATTTCTGTCTTAAACATACTCAGGTCTTCCACAGTCTTCACAACCTCAGGATGCTCCCCAAGTTGTTTTACAGCAAAAGTCAAATACAGACAGTGCTGTAACGTAAGGACAGAGGCAGCTAATCTGGGCACAGCGAGATCTCAAAAGATAAAAACACGACGGTGATCAGATTGTCTGTTTCTGTGATGCTTAAGTGGGGGATACATATCAGCCAGGATTCCCAGGATAACTCCCCTAATCCTCTCTGATATAGTGCCTCGGGGATCTTTTATCAACTTGAGTGGGTATGTGGGGGTCCTAGATTGAGGTCTCAGCGTCTAAGCTAGGGCAGCATTTTCTCAGTACTGCAGCGAAGCGTCAGCTTGGATGATGTACCGAAGTCTCCAGTGTGGGACCAATTTTTGAATAAAAAGGACCACGCCCACTGAACTGTGCCTGATGTCAACACTTCACACACAAACAAAATCCCCGATCTACCTGAGCAGCGAGTAGGTGGGAGCCCAAAGTAATGCTCCATCAAAGAGAGAAACAGCTGATCTAAATATGATGAAAACATACGTCATTCAAGGCCATTTTATTCAACCTTATGCAGTCAAATCTCACAGGAAAGGACCACGATTTTCCAATTTAGTATGGGGAAGTGCTTCACTTTCCTGTGCTAAAAGTCATTGGATGGGTTCCCAACAATTTCTTTACTGCGTGGAATGGATAAATGTGCATGGCTTACTGCTTCACAAATTTGAAGAAGTGTGAATCTTTGAATCTGTGCTTGTATCCTAATCCCTCCATGGCCTCCGTCCTCCCTAACTCTGTGACATCCTCCAGCCATTCCAAGCCTCTGAGGTCCCTGAATTTCTCCAATTCTAACCTCTCGGCCATATCCTGTTTCCTTGACACAGAATTAGCTGCTGTACTTTTAGCTGCTTAGGCTCCAGGCTCCAGATTTCCCTGTTTTCCTTGCTAGGCCCTAGGCTCTGGAATTCCCTCTATTTATCTGCCTAGGTCCCAAGATCTGGAATTCCCTCCTTCTGTTTGGCTAGGCCCCAAACTCTAGAATTTGTCCTTTCATCTGCCTAAGCCTCAGGCTCAGGAATTCCCTCCTTTCGGGTGCCTAGGCCCAAGTTCCAGAATTCCTCCCTCTTCTTTTTCCACCTCCTGTAAAACCCACCTTCAGGCCCACCTACAGCTTGACAAAGTTTTTGATCGTCCGTCTCAATGTCTCCTTATGAGGTTGGATATCAAATTCTACTTGAGTACGTTTCCACGGTCTACCTTGCAATGTTTAATCTATTGAAAGGAGCTATGTTAAACACAAAGCTGAGGAAAACGCACTCATTACATGGGCAAACTGGTGGAGTATCAAGACGTGAATCTTTCCAACGCACTCCTGAGAGACAGGCGCTAGGAATGGGAGAGATTTCTGGCCCGTTGTATGATGGACAGAAATTGGAACCTCTACCCGTCACTATCCATAGCTCCAGGCCGCAACGTGCATGTAAAAGTGTACATCGTTACAGAAACACGGCCTCATCGTGGTGGGGGTGGATCAGCTGGCCAGAAGGCTGGAGTGGGCTTGGCTTGGTGCCAACAGCACAGGGTTCAATCTGTGCTCCGGCTGGGGGCGTTGGGCTGTTTTCAGAACCTGTCTCCCAGACCCTTCCCCCACTAAATATTGGTGGAGACCAAGGTGCGATGGAGCAGACCTGCCCGTGGGCCGAGAACTGGGGAGTTAATAAATGCAAGTTGTTTTTGAGATCTGGTTTACAAACCCCCTTCGCTTGGTACCTGGATTATCGCTTTGTGGGTTACTCTGGGGTATTCTGCTCCTGAGCGTTGACGGCAATCTCACAACTCCAGCTCGAGAAAATAAATCCTGAGAAACTAAAGAGACAAACCCACTCTTCGGATGTCCATTTCCACTTCTGTTAGCTCCATAATCGGAGAGGTTTAATCCTTAAACCTCTCTACCTTAGGAACATATGGCCGGGTGTTTAGTAACTGAGAGGGTGGACTGAGAGAGACAGAGGGAGAGGCAGCGTGAGGGAAGCCCTTTACCTGTGGTGGTCAAACTCAGCAGTCTCACAGGCCCATTCCCCTTGGAGTCACAATGAAATACAAACGGCTTTATTTTCTGTGCCAAATAAAAGCCGAAGGGACTGCGGATGCTGTAAATCAGCAACAAACTCAGTTCTGCAGAAGGGTCACCGGAGCTGAAACGTTAACTCTGATTTTTTTCTTCACAGGTGCTGCCAGAACTGCTATTATTTTCTGTTCTGTTTTCCTCCCAGACCGTTTTTACTTCGTTTAATATCAAAAGGTTTGGCTGCTCATAAATAAAATGTCAAACTTGCACTGAACTTTGGTGGGGCCACAGTTAGAGCGCTGTGCACAGGTTGCGTCTCCGTCTTGCAAAATGGCCACAGGGAAGACTGGGGAAAGTTTACAATGAGATTGACGAGGATGTTAACCAGAGCTGAGATTGACCAGAAAAGACCCAACTGGCTCTGCGTTTTTTTCTTGATGAAAGATTGAGAGATTGAGATTGAGGTCTTGGCAGCGTGGATGTGGAGAGGAGACAGGCCATGATTTTATTAAAATGTCAGAGCATACTCAAGGAGCTGAATTGTCTCCTTCTGTTCCTTGTTTGTATGTTTGTGCAGCCTGTCATTGTTCTTTTAAGATTTAGTCAGAAGTGAATAAGTAGATGTTTTCGCTGTGAGGCTGACCATAAGCTAGGTGCCATGTAGATGGGATAGGCATGAATTAATCCAATAGGGAATTCAGCAGCAACTCAGAAACAAAACAAAGCATAGAAATATCGGTGCAGGAGCAGGCCATCAGCCCTTCAAGCCTGCTCCACCATTCAATATGATCATGGTTGATCATCCAACTCAGTCCCCTGTTCCCACTTTCTCCCCACACCCTTTGATCCATTTAACCCTAAGAACTATATCTAACCTTTTCTTAAAAACATTCAATATTTTGGCTTTACCCGCTTCCTGTGTCAGAGAATTCCACAGGCTTACCACTCTGTGAATGAAGAAATTTCTTCTTATCTCAGTCCTGAGACTGTATCCTTAGACTGTGACCCCTAGTTTTGAACTCTCCAGCTGTCAGGAACATTCCTGCATTTACCCCGAATAGTCCTACTCGAAATTTATAGGTTTCTATAAGGTATCCTTCATTCTTCTGAACTCCAGTGAATATAGTCCTGAACGATCCAGTTTCTCTTCATACATCAATCCTACCATTCCATGAATCAGTCTGGGAAACGACTGCTGCACTCCCTCCATTGCTAGAACATCCTTCCTCAGATGAGGAGATCAGAACTGCACATAATACTTCAGGTCTCCATTTTATTACCAAGAGATTGGTTAGAATGTGAAACTCTCAACCACAAGAGGTCATTGAGGTGAGTGTATACGTGTATTAATGTGAAGCTAGCAAAATGGATGAGGGAGGACGGGATGGAAGACTGTGTGGATAAGGTGAGAGGAAGAGTGATGTGATGAGGTTTCTGTGGGGACTAACACCAATGTTGATAATTTGGGCTGAATGGCTTGCTTCTGTGCTGTACCTTCCATGCAAATGCTTAAGATTGAGGTAGACACTTAGCACTTCCTGTGTAACAAACAGACATTACCTTCGCCCGGGTGACTGTCTGGCTGGAGACCGGGGTGAGCGTCCTCTCTGGCTTATAGTTTGGACCATTAACCTGCTCGTGCAGCTGGTCCTACCCTGTGGAAAGAGAGAAGGTACAATCAATGGCAGCTCCAATGAACCAGTGAACTGCAGTGAACTCTGCCCTCTTCCAATTCTGGCCCCTAGCATCTCCTACATTCCCCTGCCCACCACTGGTGGCTATACTTTCAGAATGAACAGCATCAAGTTCCTCGGGGTGATGATAACCAACAACCCGTCCTGGATTTCCCACATATTTGGGACAGTCATATACACGGGGGGAGGTGATGGCCCAGTGGTATTATCATTGGGCTGTCAATCCAGAAACCCAGATAACATTCTGGGGACACAGGTTCGAATCCTGCCAGGGCAGATGGTGGAATTTTAATTCAATAAATATCTGGAATTAAGGATCTAATGATGACCATGAATTCATTGTCGATTGTCAGGAAAAACCCACCTGGTTCATTAATGTCCTTTAGGGAGGGAAACTGCCATCCTTACCTGGTCTGGCCTACATGTGACTCCAGACCCACCGCAATGTGGTTGACTCTTAACTGCCCTCGGGGCAATTAGGGATGGGCAATAAATGCTGCTTTGCCAGCGATGCCCTCATCCCGTGAATGAATAAAGAAAGAAAAAAGTCAAGAAGGCACACAATGTCCTTTCTTCCTCAGGCGGCTCAGGAAATTTGGTATGTCCATAAGGACCCTCACCAACTTCTACAGATACACCACTGAAAGCAAACTGTCCAGGTGCATAACGGCCTGGTCTGGCAACTGCTCTGCCCAGGACTGTAAGAAACTACAGAAGGTGGTGAGCACAGCCCAGACCATCACAGAAGCCAACCTTCCATCCATGGACTCCATTTACATGGCTCGCTGCCACGGAAAGACAGCCAACATCATCAAAGACCCATCACACCCTGGTAGTGACCTCCTACAACCTCTTCCGTCAGGCAGAAGATACAGAAGCCTGAACACATGCACGAGCAGGTTCAGGAACAGCTTCTGCCCGGCCCTCTAGCATCAAATAATATAACCTGCAATGTAACCTGTATGCCTCTAAATCTTTTTGCTCTGTACATCCTTTGCTTGCTGTCATTTCCCTGTATCGCTCATAAACAAAACTTTTCACTGTATTTCGGTACATGTGACATTAAATCAATCACTTGAAAAATACCTTGATTGGCAGTAAAGTACTTTGAGAATCCCAGAAGCTATGAAGAAGGTCTAAACAACAAGAAGTGCAATGTCTTTCTAATGATTCATGATGCTCAATAAATGCTCAGCTACATAGAATCATAGAATCCTTCCTGTGTGGAAACAGGCCATCCAGCCCATCACATCCACACCAGCCTTCCAAAGAGTATCCCACCCAATCCCTGTAACCCTGCAGTTCCCATGGCTAATCCACCTATCCTGCACATCCCTGGATACTATGGACAATTTAACATGGCCAATCCACATAATTTACACATCTTTGGACTGTGAGAGGAAACCACAGCACCTGGAAGAAAACCCACGCAGACACAGGGCGAATGTGCAAACTCCACACGGACAGTTGCCCGAGGGTGGAATCAAACCCAGATCCCTGGTGCTGTAAGGCAGCAGTGCTAACCACTGAACCACCATGCTGTTACAGAGCACCAGGCAAAGAGCTGGAATGTGGGATTAGATTGCAGCCAGTCTGGAAACAAAGGACCAAGTGGGTAACTCAGAGATAGCAAGAACTGCAGATGCTGGAGTCTGAGACAACACAGTGTGGAGCTGGAGGAACACAGCAGGACAGGCAGCATCAGAGGAACAGGAAAGTTGACGTTTTGGGTTGGAACCGTTCTTCTGAAGAAGGGTCCCGACTAGAAACGTTAACTTTCCTGCCCCCCTGACGCTGCCTGGCCTGCTGTGTTCTTCCAGCTCCATACTGTGTTGTCACCGAGTGGGTAACTCATGCTTTCTACAAATTTGTAATTGGATCATGGTATTGCTTCACAAGCACATGTCACTCACATGAATGGAAAGGTGATGACAACCAGAAAATCGGGCATTGATTAAGTTCGAACCGAGGTTCTCTGCTTCAGAATAGCACCACAGAATCTTCAAAGCTCACCAGAGAGGGCAAGGTGGACCCTTATTCTGTACTGGCATGCAGAAGGTGACAGTGCTGCCCCAGGAGAGTTGGCCTTGACTTTTGTGCTGGAGTGTTTCTGGAGTGGGACTTGAACCAGGACCTTTCTGGCTTGGAGGCGAGTCTGGGCTACAACTGGCAAGGCTACAGTTGGGCCCATCCAGAAATATGCCTGCAATCAGCCCAATTAAAAACTCATTTAACGTCACACGATATCCATGCTTCCCTATAGAATGGATAGCAACTTGAAGCTCTGAATTGCTTTAATGTTGTTCAGGGATGGGAGGACTCACACAGTTAATGGTAGGGCCCTGGGGAGAGTTGTCAAACACATTGGGGTGCAGGTACATAGCTCCTTGGCAGTGCTTTCACAGGTAGACAGGTTGATGAAGAAGGTGTTTGGTCAGAGCTTTGAGTATGCAGTTGGGACATCATGTTACGGCTGTACAAGACATTGGTAAGGCCACATTTGGAGTACTGCATGCAGTTCTGGTCACCCTGCTATGGGACGGATGTATTTAAACTGGAAAAGGTGCAAAAAAGATTGACAAGGATGTTACTGAGCCCGGAGGATTTGAGTTATAAGGAGAGGCCGGACAGGCTGGGACTTCTTTCCTGGAGCGTGGAGGCTGAGGGGGTGACCTTATTGGGCTTTATAAAATCATGAGGGGGCATAGATAAGGTGAATAGCCCAGGTCTTTTCCCCAGGCTCGAGGAGCCCAAAACTAGAGGGCATAGGCTTAAGGTGAGAAGGGAAAGATTTAAAAGACACCTGGGGGGGCAACTTTTTCACACAGAAAGTGATGGTTGTAAGGAATGAACTGCCGGAGTTATAGAGTCATAGAGAACGGAAACAGACCCTTTTGTCCAACCAGTCCATGCCGAACATAGTCCCAAATTAAACTAGTCCCACCTGCCTGCTCCTGGCCCATAATCCCTCCAAGTCTTTCCCATTCATGTACTTTTCTAATTGTCTTTTAAATTTTGATTCTCAGTAAATTGATTCCACACGGGAACCACTCTCTGTGTAAAAAAATTTGCTCCTCATGTCTTTTTTAAAATTTCTCTCCTCTCACTTTAAAACATGCCCCCTGGTCTTGAAATCCCACACCCTAGGAAAAAGGCACCTACCATTAACCCTAACTATATTCCTCATCATTTTATAAACCTCTATAAGGTCATCTCTCAACCGCCTATGCTCCAGTGAAAAATGTCCCAGCCTATCCAGCCTTTTCTTATAACCTAAACCTTCCATACCTGGCATCATTCTGGTAAATCTCTTCTGAACCTTCTCTAGCTTGGACAGGTACATGGATAGGAAAGGTTTAGAGGGATATGGGCCAAATGCGGCCAAATTTGATGAGTTGAGTTTAGCAAACCTGGTCTGAATGGACACGTTGGGCCGAAGGGCCTGTTTCCGTACTGTATGACTCGATGGTTCTGTGATTATTGAACTCGGCAGTCTTTCCTATTAGTTGCACATATTAAAAATGGAAACAGTTTCTCACTGAATGACAGAATAATGTATAATGTTCAGTGTGAGAGACATGCTACTCTGTGTTTTCCCCCTCTCCCCAGGATTCCTTGTTCTTAATATCACACTTACGTTGGCTGCAGATCAGGATGAATTGGATGTGGGGATAAGGGAAGGATGTGACACTAAATGGATAGCTCCTTCTAAGAGCTGGCACAGGCACGAAGGACCAAATGGCGTTTTTGTGGACTGAATGGTTTTATGAATTTGGCATGGGGATGCTGGTGGGGGAATGGAGGTGCTTGCAGGATAACCTAAGGGCCATAAGGAAATCTGTGCCATTACAAGGAATCTGGTTGTAGACAGCTTTTGGCTCAAATTCCTCATTCTGTCCATGAGTCAGACTTTGTTGGGCCTTAACATGTTTGACTGATTGATTATCCAGACCTCAAAGGCATTTCTTTTTGGTTTTGTATTTTTCTTCAGGACAATTTTGTTGGACTGGAGCTCTTCACTCATTCTGCATTAGATTTTGTAGACCAAACAGGAACTTGAGTGGATTCATAAAACATAACCACATACTCACCAGAACTATGTAAACAGACCATTTCCCTTGGTTTTGAACTGAACAGATTTTTCTGTCTTGTCCTTTTCATCATATTAATAGGAAACCTCAACATGGAGAATTCGCTGCAGAAGCATTTTTACCCACAGTTTCTTCTTACAGATTTTGAAAATGCATTGAGGAAAAAAATTTGTTGCCCAAATTGACCATTGAGTTCACTTAAATGATTCAATGCTCAATTCATGAGAATTGACCTGAACACAATAGGGTAGAAGGGAAAGGAAGGCAAAACCTAAGAAAAAGGATAAAAACTGTCCCTTAGCAGCACGTAACTTGAATATTGCTTGAATATTGTCTACTATTTACAAGGCACAAGTCAGGAGTGTGATGGAATACTCCCCACTTGCCTGACTGAATGCAGCTCCAACAACACTCAAAAAGCTCAACACCATCCAGGACAAAGCATCTCACTTGATTAGCACCACATCCACAAGCATTCACTCCCTCTACCACCAATGCTCAGTTAGCAGCAGGGTGTACTATTAACACGGTGCACTGCAAAAATTCAACAAAAATCCTTCCAAACTCACAACTACTTCCATCTAGAAGGACAAGGGCAGCAGATACATGGAAACACCAGCATCATCAAGTTCCCCTCCAAGCCACTCACCATCCTGACGTGGAAATATATCACTGTTCTTTCCGTGTCACTGGATCAAAATCCTGGAATTTTCTCCCCAAGGTCTACCTACAGCACGTGGACTGTAGCTCACCACCTCCTCCTCAAGGACAACTAGGATTGGGCAAGAAATGCTGGCCAGCTAGCGATGCCCAGATCCCAAGCGAAAACAGAGAAATAGGTACATGATACTGAAGACTGTCATCCGGCACTCATCCAGACAATTGCAAAAATGCCAAATTTCTAACAATCACAATTTATGCCACGGTAGGAAAAGGGTACTGATTGTCTGGCAAATCAAATCTGATTAGTTGACAATACATCGTCCAATTAGAATTGACTTGTCAACCGATCAATACCATTTTCTCTTATATTGTAAATTGTTGTGATTGTTTGAAATTTGTCATTCTTGGACGTGGTTCTGATGATTGCAATGCGAAAAGCTTCAGCAACATGTCACTCTTTTCAGGGACAGATTGAAACCCTAACATCTCACAAGTCTGAGAGTCGCAGGAAGTGACCTTGAGATGTCAACTGCCAATGGATGGTGGCAAGAAATTGAAAAAAAAAATCATTGACTAATTCATTGGCTCTGACATCTAGTCACATTCTCACAACCCCAATTTTGATACACGCACCATGTGCAGGCAGCTCATATATTTTCCCTCCAATCACCCACGGACAAACTGTAAAATGGTTCCACTTACCAGTGGGTTGGCCACCATGATAGTATAATTCCCATCATCATCCAGTGTGGCAGCGTCAGTATGGAGGGTACAAATTCCATCAGCCTCTCGACCAATCTGGTAATGCTCACTGCGCTTGGAAATTTGTTTGCCGTCTTTGAACCAGTAGACCTGTCGGTGGATGGGGCGTTGTGTGGAAGAAAGAGGAGTAATTAACCAGGGCTGGGAGGCCAAGCACAGTTCCCTCTGTCTGTGTAATCCATGCAGACAGAAGGGGTGGAGGTGGGTTTGTGTTTTCTCCAGGATCAGAATGACCACACCAGATTGCTGCACACACAAACTCCCCACTAATAAACAATTCGATTGTAAAGACAGCAATCAAACAAAACAATTCATCAAACCCACATGAGCTGTGGCAGTTCAATGATGTAGTTCACCACCATTTCCGAGGCGATTAGGGAATCATAGAATCCCTACAGCGCAGAAGGACACCATTTGGCCCATCGAGTCTGCACTGACTCTTCGAAGAGCATTCCACCCAGATTGCAGCCCCCTACCCTATCCTCATATCTTTGCATCTCCCATAGTTAACCCACCTAGCCTACACATCCTGAGGCAATTTAGCATGGCCAATCCTCCTAACCTGTACATCTTTGGACTGTGGGAGGAAACCGGAACACCCAGAGGAAACCCACGGAGACACAGGAAGAATGTGCAAACTCCACACAGACAGTCACCTGAGGCTGGAGTTGCACCCCTCTCCTGGTGCTATAAAGATTGTTACAAATTGCATTGAAATGCATAAAATTCTGAAAGGGCCAGCCAAATTGCATGCAGGAATGATGTTTCCTTGCTCTGGGTTGGCAGGATACCATCACAAGGGGTCAAGGTCTTAGGGTATGTGGTAGGTCATTTTGGAGTGGGAAGCCAAAAAATGTCTTCACTTAGTGAAGTGAGTCTGTGGAAGTCTCTACCACAAAACACTGTGGATGCAAAGTCACTGAATATATTCAGGAAACAGGAAGGTTTCTAGAGGCTAAACCCTTTAAGAGGGTTGCAATATGCTGTTGTGATAGAGGATCAGCCATGATTACGTTGAATAGTGGAGCAGGCTCAATGAGCTGAATAGCCTATGTTTGCACCAATTTTCTATGCTTCTATATTTCTGCATAGTTGAAAATTTCTTCATTCAGCGAGTGAACCTGTGCAATTCACAATGAAAGAAAGTGGTTGAGACCAAAACATTGTCATTTCAAGAAGGAGGTGGATATGGCTCTTGTGGCTAAAGCCATCAAGGTTTATGGGGGGTGGGGGGGGCGGGTTTGCGGGATTAGGGTATTTAGCTTGGTGAACAGCCATGATCCTACTGAATGGTGGTGAAGGTTCAAGGGGCTGAATAGCCTACTCCTGCTCCTATCTTCTATGTTTCTGCATTCTACAAAAGGAGAATTTATAGAGTTATGGAGGGAGAACTGAATTAATCCGACAACTCTATCAAAATGTTTTGGCTTCAGTGACACTTCTTCAGAACTCAGGACCCTATCAAAGACCCTGCAGAGGCACAATGGGCTAAATGGTCTCCTTGACCGCTGCAAGGTTCCGCTTTTGCAGCCCGTACCTTTGGCAGGGGATCTCCGACTACTTTGCAAGTAAACGTTACTGGTGTCCCCTCGAACAGCTTGACATGTTTCAGCTTCCTCTCGAAGAGTGGGGCAGTGCCATGATCAGGCAGCTCATCGTGCTGGACCTCATCGTCAGATTCGTCCACTGGTGACCGCTCCAGGCGAAACTCAATCTCGTTGATCAACCTTTGTTCAAAGCTGGACACCTTGTATTCCTTAGGAAGAAAGAATCAAACTGTCAGCATTGTGAAAGGTGGAGGCCGAGTACAGAGATCCAGTGAGCATCTCAGACTGACATTGTTCCAGCTTCCTACACCGTGTGACTTCTCCAGAGAAGAGACAAAGCTGATGGGAAGACCTTTTGAAACTTTCTCAATAAATTACATATGAAGGATTTGAGAGAATTCAAAAGAAGGAGCCTTAAGATCATGATAACACTTAGAGTAGGAAGTTCAGGGAAAAAAAAACCTTTTAGTCCAGACAGTGGGTCGAGTGTGAATGAGAAGGATATAATTGAGGTCAATCCACTTGCCTGGATGAGTGCAGCTCCAACAACACTTAAGAAGCTTGACACAATACAGGACAAACCAGCCCACTTGATTGGCACAACATCCACAAGCATCCATTCCTATCACCGATGATGCTCAGTAGCAGTGGTGTGTACTACTTACAAGATGCACTGCAGAAATTCACTACAGATCTCAACAGCACCTTCCAAATCCACAATCATCTAGAAGGACAAGGGTGGCAGATACATGGGAACACCACCACCTTCAAGCTCTCCTCCAAGCCACTCGCCATCCTGACTTGGAACTACATCACCATTCCTTCACTGTCACTGGGTCAAAATCCTGGAATTTCCTCCCTAATGTGATTGAGGGTGAACCTACAACACATGGACTGCAGTGTTTCAAGAAGGCGACTCACCACCACCTTCTCACCACTGGGTACCCTGCAAAGCTGCATACTCTGCCCCTTACTATACTCCTTATACACTCACGACTTTGTGGCTAAGTCCAGCTCTAACTCCATGTACAATTTTGCTGATGACTCCACTGTAGTGGTTCGGATCTGAAATAATGACAAGACAGAATACAGGAAATAGACAGCTAAACGGCACGGTGTAAATACAACAACAGGAGCTAGTCATCAACTACAGGAATCAGAGTGGAGGACACACCTCTGTCTGTATCAATAGTGCTGAGGTGGAGGTGGTCGAGAGCTTCAAGTTCCTGGGAATAAATATCACCAACAATCTGTCCTGGTCTATCCACATTAACACCTACTGTCAAGAAAGCACACCATCGCCTTTACTTCCTCAGGAGGCTAAGGAAATTCTGCATGTTCACAAGGACTCTTAGTAATTTTTATACATGCGCAATAGAAAGCATTCTATCTGGATGCATTGCAACTTGGCATGACAACTGCTCTGCCCAAGACTACTAGAAATTACAGAGAGTTGTGAAGGTAGCCCATTCTGTCATGAAAACCAGCCTTCCTTTCATTGACTCCATCTAAACTTCCTGTTGCTTTGGCCAAGTAGCCAACATTGAAGACCCCTCCCACCCCAGTTACACTCTCTCCCACCCTTTTCCATCAGGCCGAAGATACACAAGTTTGAAAACACGAACCAACAGATTCAAAACCAGCTTCTTCCCCGCTGTTATCAGGCTTATGATTGGACCTCTCATATATTAGAGTTGATCTTTCTCTGCACCTTCTCTGTAGTTGTAACACTATATTCTGCATTCTGTTCATTACTTATGTAAGGTTATGATTTGCATGGATAGCACGCGAAACAATACTTTTCACTGTATCTCTGTACTTGTGACAATAATAAATCAAATTAAATCAAATTGAGGGCAACTAGGAATGGGCCAGCAATGCCCCCAACCTATGAGTGAATAACTAAGGCAATAATTCATTCACAAATGTATGTATGTACAGCTTGTAAATCAAAAGTACAGATACTGCAGGATGTCACAGCAATAAGAAAGCAATTACTATGGTTACTGGAGACATGAAATAAAATAATTACAAACAAAAATGTCAAAGGAGAGAGAGAAACAGTCAATATTTCGAGCTAATTGGCCTTTTCTGAATTAAAATCAATTGACGTTGAATCTGTTTCTCTCTCCACAGAGACCTGCTGAGTTTCACCAGCACTTTCTGTTTTCATTACATGGTAATTTGATTTTAAAAAAGCAGGAGTGTGCTGCAGACCACCAACTTCGCAGTTCATGGTTCAGCCTGAAGTACAAACAATTTACTTTAACACCACAGATATTTCACATCAATTCCTCCTGAGAAAAGTTGCTGAGCCATTCAAGTAAACGAAAGGAGAAACAAATTAAATAAAATACTGCATTTTGGAATGGAAAGAGCTTAACCTGGCGAACACATTAGCTTGATCAGTGTCAAAAACCTTTTACATAGTTCCTCATTCAGAATAAAAGCCAAGTACTGCTGATGCTGGGGATCTGAAACTGTTTTGTTAACTCCACTCCATGTTTAAGTGAAAACAGCCCAGTCCAATTCCCAAATTAAAAAAAAATTGGTAAAATGTTCCAGCTAATGTGAGGCAATTCATTCCTGCTGTTCGATTGTGCTTCCCCCACCTCTCTGCCCTATTCCACTAAAATAAAACAACAGCAGAACAGGAAAGAATCTGATATCTTAATTCTAATTGAGATATAAATGATTTCCCCTAAAGAATGTATTTCTTGTTCTGCTGCAGACCTACCTTCTTGGTATTGACATTGGGAAATGTTGGGATGCAAAACTACATGGTTAAACTTCGCTGACTGTTTCAGGGGTTTCTGAAGCACATGATCGAATCAGTTTTGCTCCCTCATTAGAGACGCTTTCTTAAGCGAAACAGAATTCAAGAGAGAGAATTGTGTTGCTCTCCACAAAAGGGTAACTACCTGGACCACAGGGTCGTCCTCCGTTTCCTGAAAATTGAATACAGTGGCGGCATTGTCCGCTCCCAGGAGCCTGCGGGCCATCTTTTCCTCATAGGTTAATCTCTGCGGCGGTGGGAATGAAGGAAAGAAAGGATAAATCAGTCACATCTGTCAGTCACAGATCTTGCACGGTCAGCAAGTGAGCAAATACCAGAATGTTTCCAGATTAGGAAATGGCTGCAAAAGCACAAAGACGGGGAAAGATGGGATTGCTTCTGTATAGTTGCTCCCACAAACCCCTGGGACCCCCTAGAGCTGCTTTGTGGCATATCTTCTGAAGGACATCACTGCTATAATGCAGGAAATATGGCAACCACTTTGTGCGTAGCAAGCTCCCACGGAACTGCAACTAATTCTCTTTCAGTGGACACTTGGGTCGGTTATCGATGGATGGGAAATTTTTTTTGAATTGATTTAGATTTTTACATTCCTTTTCAACATTGACAAACTCAGTATCTAACTTATTCAACTGTCCTTTAGGAAGAATGGCGAGGGATCTCATAGAAACCCATAAAGTTCTAACAGGACTAGACAGGGTAAACTCAGGAGGGATATTCCTGATGACCGAAATGTCCAGAACCAGGGGTAAGAGTTCAAGGAAATGGGGTAAACAATTCCGGACTGAGATGAGGAGAAATTTCTTCACTCAGAGAGTGGTGAACCTGTGGAATTATCTGCCACGGGAAACTGTTGAAGCCAAAACATTGACGCTTTTCAAGAAAGACGTGAATACAGTTCTTAGAGCCGAAGGGATCAAAGGGTATGGGGAGAAAACGGGGCAGGGTACTGAGTTGGAATGATCAACCACAATCATGTTGAAGGGTGGAGCAGATTCGAAATGGCCTGCTCCTGCTCCTAGTTTCTATGTCACATTGAAAAGTAAATGAAATTCTTAATTTCCAAGGAACATCAGAGACTGTGGAGATTTTTAAAAAATTGTTCGCGGGATGTTGGCTGGGTCACCATTTATCACACATCCCAAATTGCCCTGGAAAAAGTGGTGATGAGCTGCCTTTTTGAGCTTCTGCATCAACTACATTTCTTTTTAGCAGAAGTCAGTAAAAAACGTATTTGAATAAAATACTCAAAGAAAAAGGTTACCTATTGTAGGACTCAAAAAACACTGGGTTTAAGAGTCCCATTATCTACCAATAGGAGTTAGTTAACTGGGCAGTTGGCTTATGATGCAGAGTAACGCTAACGGCGTGAGTTTGATCCCTGTACTGGCTGAGGTCACCAGGAAGGACTCTCCTTCTCAACCTCTCCCCTTGACTGATGGGTGGTGACCCTCAGGTTAAACCACTACCGGTTATCTCTCTCTAATGACTGAGCAGCCCTGTGGTCTGGTAGGACAATAGCAACCACATTTTATCGACTAACATAATATGAGTTGTGTCTGGCTTTTCGCAGTTCTGTGAGGGGAAGAGTTGTTCCCCTCTGTAGTTAGATTTATTCAAAGCTCTGAGTGAATTTTCAGTCCCAGAGTGGAATGAGTTCTGGCCTTCAGAGAGGTTTACTAAATTGAAACATGGGATGAGCAGGCTGTCTATGATGAAAGGATTGGCAGGTAGGGCTGGGCTCGTTTCCACTGGAATTTAGAAGAGTGAGGGGTGAGTTGATGGAAGTGCATAGAGGTGACGTGGTGGCTCAGTGGTTAGCACTGCTACCTCACAGTGCTAGAGACCTGGGTTCAATTCCAACCTCAGGTGACTGTCTGTGCAGAGTTTGCATGTTCTCCCAGTGTCTGTGTGGGTTTCTTCTGGGTGCTCTGGCTTCCTCCCAAAGTGCAGGTTAGGTGGATTGCCCATAGGATCCAGGGCTGTGTAGATTAGGAGGATTAGCTTTGGGGAATGCAGTGTTATAAGGTGGTGGGGTGGGACTGAGTGCAATTCTCTGTAGAGGGTTAATTTTGACTGTATAGCCTCCTTCCATGCTGTAGGGATTCAAGGTATAAGATGCTGAATGGCCTGGACAAGGAAAGGATGTGAGTTGAGTCCAGAACCTTTCTCTTTAAATTTTCATTCATGGATGGGGCATGCATTTACTGCCCAGAGGGCAGTTGACAGTCAACCACTACAGGCCACACCAGGTAAGGATGACAAAATTCCTTCCCTAAAGGACATTAGTAAGCCAGATGGATTTTTCCCAACAAATACAACGGTTTCACGCTCACCATTAAATTCATAAATCCAGACTTTTCCGTTTAAATTCTATGTGGTGGGATTTGAACTTGGACCCCCAGAATATTAGCTGCACCTCAAATTAATAACGCCATTGGGCCATCAACTGCAGAAGGCTGTTGCTTCAAAATTAGAGTTAATTTTTTCAGGGTAAGATAAGGATTCTTTTTCTCTCAGAGAGTTTTGTGACTTTAGAACTTTCTAGCTTTAGAAAGCATAATTGAATATTTTTAGGACAGAGATGGATAAATTCCTGTTAAGCAGGGGAATCCAGCATAATTGGGGATAGGTGGAAAGCTGGAATTCAGAACAAACAGGTCAGCCATTATGTTACAGAATGGCACAGCAGTCTTGAGGGGCAGTCTTGGAGCTGGCACTGAGCTGATCCCAAATCTCTTTATTTACGTGGCCAAGCCAGCTCGGCCTTTCAGATGTGGAGGTGGAGATGCGTTTTGTATTGAAGAGAACATAAGGAAATTTTAAAAAATGGAGTGGCTCATGGCTTTTCACAAATAAAAATGTTGTGTTTCCACCAGTGAGTAGTCAAAAATGATTCCAGAAACAATGCGTTCACAAAAATAAAACAAAGAGTTGTTGGGGCTGGAAATCCGAAACAAAAACAGAAACTGCTGGAGAAACACAGCAGGGTCTGACAGCATCTGTGGATGAGAGACAGTTAAAGTTTCGAGTCTGATATGGTCCTTCTTCAGCTGGAGTTCTGTTGAAAGGACATACTAGACACAAAACATTGACTTTGCTTCTCTGTCCACTGATGCTGCCAGACCTGCTGAGTTTCTCTAGCACTTTCTGTTTTTCTTACAACGGGTCACAAGTTAGGCCAGAATAAAGAAGGCTTTTGGGCTATTTAACTGCATTGATTCCAAAACAGCACAGTTCTGGAGAATTGCCTCAGGCATGTCAGGTTATGAGGGGTATGGACAGGCTGGATTGACAACAGGGTTCCCCTTAGTCGAAGGGTCAGGAATGAAGGGGCTTCATTTTAAAGTGAAAGGCAGCAGGTTTTGACGGGATTTGAGGAAAGGGTTTTACATCCAGAGGCTGGTGGAAATCTGGAATGTGCTGCCCGGGATAGTAGTTGCGGTGGGAAACCTCACAACTTTCAAAAAGTACTTGGATGAGCACATGAGGTGCCATAGCATTCAAGGCCATGGGCCTAGTGCGGGAAAGTGGGGCTTGTGGATATAATGGTACATTTCTGGCAGTATAGACTGGTTGGGCTGAAGGGCTTCTGCATGGTTTTAGGAAAGAGATGGATAAATTCTTGTTAGGCAGTGGAATTGAGCAGTATTGAGGATAGGTGGGAAGGTGGAATTCAGAACAAACAGATTCTAAGCGAGTTTAGCAAGGCTAAATGAAATGTATTTTAATCCAAGGTGCCTGAGGAGTAGAATCCTCTCTCAGCAACGTGTGACTTGGGAACGTTCTACCTCAGAAAGTAGTGCAAGGTGGGGTCACTGAGTATTTTTAAAGCAGGGGTAAAAAGTTTCTTGTTAGGTGTTGGGGAGGGGTCAAGGGTTATTGAGGGGATAGATGGTAAAGTGGAATTTGAAATATGATCTTTTTGAAAGGCAGGGTAGGCTGGAGGGGCCGAACGGTCTACTGCTGGTCCTATTTTATATAATGCCATGGTGCCTACTCAACACTGCAATCCCTTGAGGTTTGGAGATTGAAGGTGAAGCTGTTGAACTGACACTAACGTGGAATACCGTTTGGAAAGTTCAGCATTTTGTTCTTAATCCATGGTCCTACCTGGCCATTGCTCAAACGGTCATCCTTAAAACGGAGCTTCCTTTCCAGATCCTGAATGACCGCGTCCTTTGTTCCCTGAATTTCCTCATCTGTTGCCAGGCGAGGGGTCCGGTTATTTTTCTTTAGACTCTGCGGGGTTCTGCAGGACACAGAAAGGTTCCATTTTCATCAGAGGAGATGGACAATCTCAACTTCCTTTCTTTGACACTTTAGCCTGGAACTTCAGGGAGTTGGGCCTAACTTCAGAGGCCTTTATAAATGGAGGAATCTGACAGATCCCAGTCTTGTCATCAGGGGGAAGGGAGTAGGCTAGGAATCAGTAGGGCCATTGGAAATTATTGCTGAGTTCAAACAGAGCTCATTTCACTGTTCCAAGTGCTTAACTTGTAGTGTGTGAGCCACAAATGCACAAAGAATATTTGTGAAGGGTAGATAAGTTCCAATTATGGGCCATCGTCTGAAGGAATTTAAACTCTTAGCCCTATGAAAGTGGGAAAGAGGATTTGCAGTTTTCAGTTTGAGTGGAAAAAGCAGCTACCTCCTGCTGGAGTATGCTGATTGACCGGCCATCTGGTATAGCTTAGAAAAAAAAACTAGCCATCTGTTCATGCTGTTTCTATTGGCTCTGGTGTTAACATTTCCTGAAGGTTGTCAATATCACTGAGCCCATTATGAATGCTTGGCTGGGTCTCAAAATATCAAAAACAACTCCTATCTCATCAAGTGGCTGAGTTGATATGAGATAGTAGGAACTGCAGATGCTGGAGAATCCGAGACAACAAGGTGCAGAGCTGGATGAACACAGCAGGCCAAGCAGCATCATAGGAGCA